TTGCCATCACTTCGTGATCTCAGGTATCTATAAACCCAGGCGCTGAACAACATCTTTCAACCCTATTAAATTCACGAGCTAGTGAGTATGATTCCAGACCATTTCTCTCCCCGCCTAACCCAGCTCTCCAACTTCTAATTCAAAATGCCTAGGTACTCCCCATGGGAAGAAAAAGGACGAACCCTACGGAGATGGATTGAACGCTGTAATCAACCGCGTTGTCCATACCCTCTATCCACATTCGCTGTGACACATGACCCCCAGCCTCAGGACTATTCCGTCACCCATAAAACTGTATGGTTGGATTCAACATGGAACACTTCGATCAACCCTCTTGATCTACCGATTGAGCTTAACAAGATAGAAATTGAGAATCGGCAAGGTCCACCAGTGGGCTGGGAAGGACGAACTGGTTGCGGGGTGATGTTCCTCGATTGGATCCGCCGATCAAAGCGAAGCAATGCTCCACACATATCGGAATTTACTAAGGCTGCTTATGAGATGGATTTTCCCCTTGAAAGCCTCAAATACGTATTTGTGACTGATATCTTTGAAACTGACACGGTGCAATGTATTCGTGATGAGGTGTATAAATCTGAAGGGCTCCCATACCCTTGCAGCGAGCAGGGGACTTGGGATACTCGCTCGCGCGAATTTGATGCTCTGCTGGGTACTAGAATGGGCAAAACTGTTGCGGCTTTTGTTCTATGTGCGTGGGGCCAAGGTATAAAGCGAATTGTAAGGGTCGTTACTTTCCATGATGGTGAATATCTTCAACGCCTGAATATGCGGTTTGATATTGAAGATATTTGATGGTAAGGTATCCTTACTTATCTTGGCATATATGTCACTATTTATAGTTGTTATCCTTTGTGATAAAGTATTGCTAGCGTTATGATTGCATTTTCCTGACCGATATAGTTAGCCCGTTTGATTACCTTTGGGATGGCATTCGTTTAACTGTCCGGTTCAGATGGATCTATACTAATATAGATGACTTTATTTAATACGATTACATTCATTTTCCTGCAATTCTTCTCCCCTCTATTTAGTGCGGAGTCCCCGGTGTTCCTAGGCTGGCAAACTTCGTTAATCTTACCCCGCTAATTATCGATGTATTCCCTTATTATGCGATCTTAGTTATCCCTCGTTAGGAGATGCCGAATATACTCTGAGCGTAGATTACAGTGAAATATGACCTAACTGGCTAGCAACAGAGGAAGTGGTGTGGATGTGGCATAATTAGACGGTAATCAATTTTGGCATAGACTGGGTATTGATGGTCCTACACTACAGGACTCGGCTTCTACATATTGTACGTATGTTGTATAAGTACGTAAGTTAGAGATATCGGGATAATCGGCATGCCGTAATAGGCATATCCCAGGATGATCTGAGTATGACGTCACTGTCTCCAGTTTATTGAATTATGTAAACACCCACACCAACCTTGGTTGAAATCAGGGGTTCCCAGAGTTGGCATCCCACCTTGTTGTACATAGGTAAGGGGGTCGGATTCCAATATCATTTTCGCAATGATCCCCCGTCGGGCACTGAAGCCCTATGCGGCTGAATTTCTTGGCACAGCTCTGCTGATCGTCATCGGCGATGGAGTTGTCGCCCAATGCCTGCTGTCTGATTATAACTACGGCACCTGGTTGTCCATCAACCTCGCGTGGGCCTCGGCAGTGGCCCTCTCGGGCTACTTATCTGATCCCAGCCCGACAATTAACCCGGCCGTGACTATTTGTCTTGCTCTTGTGCGTCCATCTGAAGGACAGTGGAAACAAATCCCAGGCAAGCTGGCTGCACAATTCCTGGGCGGGTTTGTCGGTGCGGCGATCGTATATATCAATTACCGTTCGGCCATCAAAGCTTGGGATCCCGAGTACACCATTCCCGGTGGATCAATCCTGAGCCCGGTCGGTCACCATTCAGCGGGCATCTTCTCGACTTACCCGGGTGCCTTTTTCGAGTCGAACTGGGAGGCTGTATTTTCTGAGATGCTGGGTGCAGCTGTGTTAATGTTTGGCTGTCTTAGCATCTCCGATCCGGCAAATGCCTATCGATTTCCTGCTCCACAGCTCGCTTCCTTTTTGCTGCTGCTTATGATCGGGGCTTCATTGGGTTGGCAAACCGGCTACGTATGTTCATCGCGTTATCAAGTTAGAAATTCGCACTAATAAATATAACTAGGCCATTAACCCAGCTAGAGACTTTGGTCCGAGATTGTTCTCTGCTATTATCTATGGCCGAGAGGTGTTTACGGCGGCCAACTACTACTTTGTTGTACCGCTTTTCGCCCCTATTGTCGGTTGTGTTTTGGGCGCGGCAACTTATGATGCGATGCTGTTCGAGGGAGAGGGATCGCGCGTTACCGATGCGCTGGACAACGCCGAAGACCACGGGTCCCTTCGACTGCAGTGATATTATGGCCTCGAAGACTCAATGGTAGCCCTGCTAACATGGGGTTAACTATGATTATGATTGTTAGACATGGACTGTGACGTCAAGTGAGAGTAGAGGATAGGATTGAAATCTGAAAAGACAGTTGTGCTCTAACCCCTCCTCACCCCCGACACCATAGATTGAAGACAGTATTTGCCCACTGCTCGCCCTCTTGGCGCTATTCGGTGTCTAGTCGATATACGTTTCAGTTGCCGTAACCGTTTGTCTGGATATGATTCGTTCGTATAGTAAGACCAAACCGTGACATTTTTCTTAGAAGAGAGGAACTTGTGTGTGGATGAAGACTGGCCGTTTTAGGAATTGTGATGGTCTGTCCGTGCCTTGGGGGTAATTCCTCGAGACTTCAATTGGATAAGGGCTAATTTGATAAATATTAATAACGAAACATAGAAACTAAAACATAAAACAGTGAGATTTCGCTGGTGGTCAGCCAACTACTAAATCACCGGCGTGTTGTTTGTGTGCAGTTAATAATAGTTGGGTGTTGCCCAGGTGAGAAGGGTGTTCAGATACTGGATGTGCCCACCTACAACAATCCCACCAAACGAACATATTCCCAAAGCGACAATTTAAGTCCGTGGGGACACAAAGTGGGAGATAGTCGGACCCAGAGGCAGATCGAGGCTCATCCCTGATCAGCCCGATCCACTTCCCCTTTGGGTAATTAAACTCCGGATTGTGCACTTCCCAATGGGGTAATCTGCTGGGGAGATTCCAGATCGATGAATATGGTGTTTGTTCTTTCTGGTGATTGGGCCTTTCGAGCCAGCTAGTGCTTCTTGGAAGAGGGTGTAGTTTGATTAGGTTGATTGGTTTTGTGGATGAGAAGCTTGCCCAGGCAATATATATTTCTGCGCACCGTCAGTTCACAATTTATTCCACAAGTTGTTGGTCGCACGAGAATTGCATCTTCATAGATATATTCATTACTCTACTTTTCGGTGGTTTCAATTTCGATCTCAGCTGATCATACACGTCCCAATGGCCTCCCAGTCATCTCCCATGTTCGGAAAAGACGTTGAGTCCGACACAACGACCGTCAACAGCTATATAAAGCCAGAGGTAGTAGCAGAAGAACCGCCAAAGCCTGCAGGACCCCCTCCACCACCCAATGGAGGCATGACAGCATGGCTCCAAGTCCTTGGGGCCTTTTTCCTGAACTTCAACACTTGGGGTCTCTTGAACACTTTCGGCACATTCCAGTCTGAATATAGTACCGGTTTGCTAAGGGACTCGTCGCAGTCTTCAATTGCTTGGATCGGATCGTTGCAGGCGTTTTTGATGCTGGTGATTGGAGTTTTGTGTGGACGTGCACTTGATGCTGGGTATTTCTACGCTGATATCACCCTGGGTGTCTTTTTGGAGGTGTTCGGCATGATGAGTGAGTTCTGCCACCCATTTACAACCACAGAAATGCTAACCGAACAGTGACTTCGATTTGCAAGGAGTATTGGCAGCTTATCTTGGCTCAAGGCCTGTGTGTCGGCATTGGCGCCGGAATGACATTCATCCCCAGCGTTGCCATCGTGGGCACGTATTTCTCGACGCGACGATCCACTGCGCTGGGTCTGGCTGCCACCGGCTCGAGCGTCGGAGGTATCATCTACCCCGTCGTGCTGAGACGTCTCATTGTCCAGATTGGACTGCCCTGGGCAGACCGAGTGATGGCGTTCATCATGTTGGGAACGCTTCTCATCTCGGTCGCTGTTATGAAGCCTCGTCTTCCACCTCGCAAGTCAGGCCCGCTGATCAACGTCGAGGCGCTCCGGGATCCTGTCTTTGTCATTTGGCTCTTCGCTGCATTCTTCATCTTCATCGGGCTCTATATCCCATTCTTCTACATAGAGCAGTATGGTATCAACCTCGGCATCTCGCGGGATTTGTCTTTCTATATGCTGATCATCATGAACGCGGGCTCCGTCCCCGGCCGTGTCATGCCGTCCATCATCGCCGACAAGATCGGTAACCTGTCCGTCATGATCCCTTCCGTCCTGCTCACGGGAATCTTGATGCTCGCGTGGATCAGCGTGGAATCTCAGTCGGGTCTGATCGCCATTGCGGTCTTTGTCGGCTTAACAAGCGGCTCTATACAAGCTGTGCTTCCCGCGACAGTCGCCTTCCTCTGTCCCGATTTGTCTAAGCTGGGCACCAACATCGGCATGACCCTCTTTGCGTCAGGTCTGGGATTGTTGATCGGTAGCCCTGTGGCGGGTGCGATTCTGGACCACCAGCGAACGTCCGGAGGAGATGTCTTCTGGGGTACTTTGACCTTTTCTGGGATCTTCATCCTGGCGGGAGGTGTTTGCTTGATCATTGCTCGCGTGGTCAAGGTAGGATTCGCTTTGAAGAAGGCTTGAGCTTGTGTATAAGACGGGCACACGATGAGCTTGTCAACATGTCTGAAGGTAGAACAGGTCATGACCGTGATAGAGAAGGGAGTAGAATATGTAAATCTGCATGCTCAATATAATAACGGATGCCATAAAACTCTATTCCATAGGATTCTTAAAATTATTCTAGCGGGTTCGAATTTATGTGTCTTCCCACAAGAGGTTAGTCGTGGATTGGATCGTCGATGTAGATTTGAATGGCACCATGGAATATGGAAAACATAAACCAGACTGCATACCCATACCCGGAGACTCTGAGCTCTGGTAAAAGTCGCAGTCGTTCGGAAACAAGGTCTGAATTAAGTGATCTGGGAGTTGTGCATGGTCCATCCAGTCTGCTGTAAGAGGGGTGGGGACACTTGGTGGAGCTGTTGTCGTTGCGCTGTTGAATCCAAGTAAGGCAGGTGTTTGATCTTGGTTTTCCCGTTTCAGAGAACGTTCCATCTCAGTTACGACCTCCTCGGCAGCTTTGATGCCGACCTGTAAGAAGTTGGAACCCTGTTTTGAGCCGTCAAAGTCGTCGACCAGGCTTGAGGTGATAGTTGTTGCGACAGCAAGGAAAAGTCTCGTCTTCGCTGCAACAGGCCCGAGGTGATATCTTCCCGCTAAAATCTGCGATAAAGAGTCTAGGTATTTCAGCAAAAGCTGTTGAAAGATGACCAGGGTGGGCTGGGGGTTGTTGGAGACGGATGCTCCCATATTGATCCTCCGCAGGCGACCAACAACCAAACATGCGGTCAATGCTGCGCGGGCAAGGTCGGTCCAAAGTATATGGTAGGCCACGCCAGACAGCTGAGCGCCGCTCTGTAGGACTTCCTGCAACTGATGGAGAATGGACACTGAATTGTCCCATAATTCATAGAGATCGCTCCGCTGCGAAGTATGAGAAGGGACCCCTAGGACAAAATTGAGTGTGATAATAATCATGAAGCTATGCACCTGAATTGACAACAAGGCTTGCTGAAGCTTTTCAATTGGACTGCATGATGAAGCTCCCTCTTGCAGATTCGAAGGCAACTCGCGCAAGATCTTATGGAATGAAGCGCGCATTCGATCCCGTACTTCACTTGATAATTCAGGAGTTGTGGAACAGAGTCGCTGGTGTAATGGAGCCCTCACTATGGCAAGCTTCATTACAGCAATATTGAATGCTTGGTCCGTTGCTTCCTCGGCCTGGTTCAACACGGTAGCCGGTTCCATTGTTCCTGGGTCAAGGGTCGAAAGGTCGATACAGCTCGGGAGGGGACAGTCCACATCTTCCAGTCGAATACCAAAGCTTGATCCACTCCGGATGCAATAGTCAAGGTTCAATCGAAAGAAACAGGCCCATAATCGTTTTCGAACTTCTGCATAGTAAGGAGTGACACTGGGGAACAACGCCGGATCCCTATGCAAGCCCATGCTCAGCGCCATTTGCGTAGTCAGCCCTATGGTACCTGTGAGGCTATAAATCTTGTCAGAGTCAGAGGCAGTGATGGCCTTCATAATGATCAAGAACAATAAAACCTGCATGACGCCGACACAAGGTTTTTGGAACTGTGTCGATGTATGAATACGGCTCTCCGCTTCTTGTAGTAACAGACGTCCGCGTAGCCGGTACGAGTTGTCGGTCTGCATGGCAATCGCAATGACCAACAGAATCTTGAGAATGTGCACTTCATTGACTTCGACGGATGCGATAAATATTTCCTCCAGCTCCGTCATCAGGCAGTTCTGGTCGATCACATAGTAGATTCTACCATATGTTTCATAAAATCGCTTCATCCAATTTTCGCAGGTTGATCGATCGGGAAGGAGAGTTAGTAGATTCTTGCTGTCTCCATTCACGCCAGCTGGTACCGAATTTGCGACACGAAGGAGAGATTTGACTTCCGCAAAAGTTCTCCACGTCGGTTGAAAATCAACGGTCTTCTCTAGCATGGCCCCTATTACGGGCAAATCGGTGCATACGGCCATCCAATGCGTGCCACCAATCAGCCTTGTTTTGAAGTTTGACCCTTTAAAGGCACTATTGGCATGACTGACAGTGGTCGGGTTGTGGGGCAAAACCGATGGTAGATTGAGGATTTCGCCATCAGAGGAGAGGGGAGTCAGCTGCTCTAAGACGAGTTGATCGATCTCTGTGCTTTGAGGGGACACTGTTGGTTTGGCAGATTGCGAGACTGCTGGAATTTTGGAACGGGAGTAAGTGCACTGTGTGTCTACTCCACGATCTTGGCACGGTTTGCATGGTGACTTGCGATCGCAGCGCACTTTGGATTTTCGACAATGGTTACATGCTATGGGCTCCCGAAAGCGGGGTCTTTTTCGGCCGCTGTTTTTCTTGGGGTTCTCGAATGCGTCTGCGTCTAGATGGCTGAACGTCAACATCTTGTCGCTGCCAGCTGTATGGGTTGATGATCAGGATGAAGACCCTGACAAGATCGAAAAAGCTTTGAGAAAGAACGAGGATAAACTAGCGGCAATCAACAGCTAGTGGATCACCAATCATAACTGGGAACGGCTAGCAGGGATGTGGCAGGCTCTTTGTCATTGGACAGAATGGTTTGTCATTACTAGGCTGCTGCTTAAATACGAGTGGACGGGATGCCCTATTTTTCCACCTGGTGGGATGTTATTTTATGTGTGGGAGAGGATAAGATAACCTAAAAGGTTGCGTAAGGAGTTAAGATGGTCATCGGTGTCATCGGCGTCAGAAGTGTGTAGGGTGAGTATGCAATATAGATATGTTTATATATTGCAATTTGTTAAAGGCCATGATGCATCCATCTTCACTACCAATCTATGTGCTGAATGCCTCACGGCCGAGTGGTTAACACCCGAGTGCCTATCTTTCACAGTCATGTGTCTCAGCTTCATCAGGGATCCAACCTTTTGACCGTTATACCGGTTTAACTTCAAATCGCTTGTTTTAAGAAGACTTCGGGCAGAGTCGCCCATTGTTATTCCACGAGTAGGGCAGTGGGTCAACAGTCTGAACCTCCCAATCCTCAGCACCAACGGCAGTCAGAGCAAAGAAAAGACCTGTAGGATCATACTTCTGCTTTAGCGCGTAGAGACGAGGATAGTTAACGCCGTAAAAGGCATCCTGGAGGTTCGGCTCAAGGAGATCAGCCTCACTCATATAGGAGCCTGAGTCTGGGGCAATATCACGTAAAACGTCCATCCACTGAGTCACGAAGAGCGAGGAGCTCTCTATCACATCCCAGGAGGATGTGGAGTTCCATTCGGTACCGACAACAACGTGTGATAGGGCATCGCGCCATGCGGGGAGCACGGAAGTGTCTGTGGGGGGCTTGACAGCAATGCCGGTGCCGCTTATGTGGAAGCCGGCAATGAAAAGGCCCTATAATATGTCAGAGTAGATTCAAAAGGAGAGAGCAGAGAATGTATCTATATATTTGTGTATACATATACTAAGACATACCTGACTGACAGCGTCCCTGTAGGCGGCCCAGGTTTGGTTGCGGAGATCATCGCTCTGGAAGACACTACGGGGAAGCAGGCGAGAAGCAGTCTTGACGCCATCGGTTCCAGCGAATTCCTGAGGGAAGGAAACGGCCCAGGGATCATGGCTAGAATGAGGGTTTAGCTGGGATATAGATGGATGGATTTGAGAAAGGAACGGGGAGGCTTAGACGCACAAATTATCTGCGTGGTTGTACCACGGAGTGTAGGAGACATTCAGACTTTTGAGAGAATCAAACCATGGAGCTAGGAGTTTCTCGGTCTGGGCGACAGTCATGTTGGGTGCTACGAAGGATTGCATACGGAAGTAGTAGTCAGTATCACCGGCATATGATGTACCAATCATGGCTTCGGAAGCACCAATGTAGAAGTAACCGTAGGTGCCAGCATCAACAAAGGTCTCGAAATTGTCGAGGTAGGACCCAACAGCAGCCCAGAAGGCGTCCGGACCAGGAGTGTCATTGACCGTGAAATTGAAAGTCACAGTAGTCGTCTCCAGCTGAGGTAGGGCCATGACGGTCAGAGAAGTGACGACTCCAATGGTGCTACCACCGCCACCGCGAAGCATCCAGAAAACTTCCGAGTTCTCAGTGGAGGTGGCAGTGATGAATCTACCATCAGCCAGAACAACTAAGCAGACTTAGTAGGGAGGTCTTTGGAGCAGATTCAGGATTATAAGAAAGGAATTTACCTTGCATGGCCAAAACTTGATCGGACGCCAAACCGTACATACTGGAAAGAGGGGAGTGGCCACCACCGGCAGTGTAGCCACCACCCAAACCGACGGTGACGGCTTCTCCACCAACAACCGAGTGGCCGAGTGACTGAGCAAACTCATAAGCCTCATAGACTTGAATACCCGAGCCGAACTTAATGGCGGGACCGACGTAGCCATTGGTACCCTTAAATTTTGGGAAATACTCCTTGTCTTTGAGGTAGTGGGTCCAAATGGAGAGGGCACCCTTGCCGGAGGCCTTACCATTGAAATCATGTCCGGTGTTCTTGACCACTAGCCGCAAGTTCAAGTTACGGGCAAAGTTGACCGCTAACTGGATCTGAGCCACGTTGGATACGTTCACTGCATACGTCGGATAGGCACCCTGCGTGCAGGTGGCGGTATAATTATACGGTGATGGTAGGCAAGAGCGGCCCTCGTACAGCGGCAGCATTATCGACGCAGGATCCGCCGTATGCAGGTCCGCGTTAAGCCAGTCAGCTGTGATGATTGCGCACTTGGTGGCATCGTACTGCGGCCAGTCTGGATAGCAGTAGGATGCCAGCGGCACCGTCTTGATCAGACTGCCGCCGAGCAAGATGTTGAAGACGTCCCAAATCGGCTTCACGGGCCACCAGAAATCCCCGGGCATCACTTTGCAGCTATGATGGGCACTCCTCTTGAGTGTCGCGGAGTTGCTCGCAAAGGCGAACATGTTAGCGACAGTGCTATTCTGTAAGGCCGCCGACACATCAGAGAGCACACCTTCGGTCAACTGCACCCTCTCATTGTGAAACAAGGAAGGTGCCGGATTAGCTGTAGCCATAACCGTAGTTGCTGCTGCTGCGAGTGATGTGGTTGAAATTGCCCCCGCGAGCGAAGCGCTCGCAATGAAAGTAACTCCCCATATGCCCTTCATGCTGAACGATGTTCACCAACACAATCCCAAAAACAGTCCCAAAAACAAAGAGAGGTGGTATGTTTCCAATGAGCAGTTAAGACAGAAAATATGGCCAACCCCTATCAAGGATGTGAACAGGGGTGCTACTTAAATATAGCCGCCATAGGAGGACAGCCCACTCCCAAGGAGTCTTTTCAGCACAAGTGACCGGAGCACCACGGAGGTCAAGTTGGTGGTGCTATGTATTAATTACGATTACTCGATCTATTTATTTTGTTGACTAGGTGATATAGCCGACAGGATCAGTACCCTTGTACACTAATGAACTAGTCTTAACTATGTGTTGACTAGTTATCTAGGTCTGAGAGCGTAAATATTCCACTTATAACAATTCTCGCCACCAGGTCCCCCCGAAAGACAAATGTTAATAATGTAGTAGTTAATGCTCGCTTTATTTCCAGAGGTTCTCCAATTTCTTTTAAGGTGCTGACATATTTGATGCACGAGCAACGTGTTCTACTGTTAAATCTGTTTCCAGAGACCATTGGTAAGCAGTCCACATTTCCAAGGTTTAGCCCCCAATCTAGTGGCCCCAGGCTGGTCGCTCTGAAACTTGACCAACCAAGACTACATTGAGTCAATTACGAGAAATATATACGTTAGTTTATTTCAAGGCTCCACAACCACAACTAGACATACGATGAAGGGACTATAGGCGATTAGGATCAGAATTAGGCGAAGCTTTACCTTGCAATCTCACTAGTGGGGCCCGAATGCCACTGTATAGCAGGATGCGGTCTAATTTATGCTGGGTGCAATTCAGCCCCCGTCGCAGAAGGGGGGGGGATCCATGGATTTGCTTCATATGTAACCCAGGCACGCTGCTCAAGTGCCCAAGTGAGTCGAAATTTTCTTGTCAAAACAACGGGCGGCAGGGGTGATTTATTTTTACGGGAAACGGATCCGGAGATATGATGGGTTCTAGTGGCAACTTACAACCGCAAGCAATCGGCTTAATATTCGCATTTCCGTGCTTCGCAACCGTTGCTGTGGCTCTGCGACTTTGCAGCCGTACGTTGACGAAGTCGTTTGCCGCAGGTCAGTTCAATGTTCCAATTCCTCTTTGCCCATGAGCTCTACGAACCTGATAGAGAACAGATGACTGGGTTATTTGTGCCGCCCTAGTTAGTACTGCAACCACTCTGAGAAACGAGCCTAGAGGATTGACGAAGATTGACAGATCATGTACTGGGCGGAGACATTTACATCTTATCAAGGTAAGATCAAGAACGCAAGAATTCCCTAGTGCGCTTTTTATTTCATGGAGTTAATGATTCATCAGTGATCATTTACATGTATATCGGATATAACGTCTGGGATATACCTCCTGACCATCCCGTTATTCTCGGTAGCAAATATGCCTACGCGGTGGGTAGAATTATTATTTCTAACCTAAATCGGTCACGTTCGCTAATAAAATAGACTGAGCTCATCTACAATCCTATTTTGGCCCTCGTCAAGGCCTCCATCCTACTCTTCCTGCTACGTCTAACAGGCCAGAAAAAGTTAGTACGCCTAGCCATCTGGGGACTCTTAACTTTTAATGGCGTCGCCGCTGTTATTACATTTTTTACCACAGTTTTTCGATGCGTGCCTGTAGCCGCTAATTGGGATTTGGTTTCATATCCCAATGCGAAGTGTCTTGACTTTGCAAACTTTGTTACCGGCACGGGTGCAGTCTCAGTTCTCACGGATTTCCTTGCTTTAACACTGCCCACCTGGATTGTATATCGCCTACAGATGCAGTGGATTCAAAAGTTGATGTTGATTGGCATCCTGTCTTTGGGTCTTTTGTGAGTAGCTAACCTAAATGTCCTCTGTCGGACTGGGATATGGCCCCCTTAGCCCCTAAACAGGAACCGAGGTTTCTATTATGGTCTAGTGGTAAATTGGCTGTATCTGTTTCCCACATCTTCTTTCCCTATCAATTTGATATATACTAATAAATATAGAACCGTGGTGGCAGGCATTATTCGCCTCATCCTCCTTGACAATTTTGACCGTCATATGCCGAAGAATTCCACGCACTCAGTCCTCTTCTGCGTGTCCACCATCGAAGTTGGCCTATCGTTTATCGCTGCGTGCGCTCCCTCTTTCAAGCCGCTCGTTACCCGGATCTTGCCGAGGCTCTTCGGCTCGACCCGCACCGGCCCGACCACAGGCTCCGCTAGTCGGAGCGGTCGGATCCGGTTGGGCTATGACCTGGAGGAAATGTCGAACTTCTCGCGTCGCACGCATGATCAGACCATCACTACCGTTGCAGCTGGAGATGACAGGATTGGCCACAGTCCCACGAAATCGGAAGCCAATAATATTATCACCATGACCACGCAAATGGAGGTTACTTGGGGTCGGCCTAATAGCAGGCGGGAAACTAGCAGTACGGAGAGTCTAGTCAACGGGAAAGGAGGTAGCAGGCTGTCTAAATAATTTGGAAAGAGGATCACATTGTTTATTCCATAGCTGCCTATCTACTTAGGGACAACTAGACCTCCGCAGAGCCCACAAAGCCCAAAGCCCACCGGGCTTTTATGGGGGTCCAATGGGCCCCAAACAGTGTAAATGTGCCGAGATAAGCAATTTTGAACCCCTTTATTAATTTTGTTTAAATTACCCTATAGTTAGTTATTTAGCACCGTTCCTAAGTATGATACCTAGGGTAATATTTTATTACTTTAAACGATTTAGATAATTTGGAAATTATAGAGGTTTACCTAGAAAGTGGTAGTACTCTCATACAAATCCTGGATATATATAAAATATCAACTTTCACCTGTTCCGATTACAGAATCCGATTTGTTAGCGCCGAGATGGGCTTTGTGGAGGTCTAGGGACAACCCTCTTTGGGCTCCGCAACTGTAGCCTGGAAGGCACAGTAAGTCAGTGAGTCCCCTGTCCCGACCACGCCCCATGGAAGTCAATTGAGTGGGGGTTCCGCTGAACACAAGTTGAGACTCATCAATTCAATTCATCGCATTGGTGGATAATGTTCTGACATGACTTGGTGCCAGATAAGAACACCCCTCAAGGCTTTTCCTCGATCTTCTTGAATGCCCCCTCGAATTCCCCGACCGGATAGAACGTGATAATCTTGTTCCAAGTGGAACTCCCCCTTCTCATGTTGTCCAACTAGGTAGGGCAAGAGCTAGGCAGTTCTTAATACCAACACTTACTATGACCAGAACAACGCTATGTACCTTTGTTATAAACTTTCTTTCAACTCCCTCAGGAGGGTAGATATCACTAAGAAAGCATTAGGTAAAGCGAAGTCCTAATAGTCTACTGTTATTGAGATATCAAATTAGAGTTTATCGCATTTACTATGGTGTGTTGAGGTGGGCGGCTCGCACATGAAATGCGTTATCCACGAATTATTATAGTGGTTATATAAGCGAAAATCAGGGTATCCCCAAGGTATTTTCTGAGTATCCCCAAGCTGGCCCAACTCAGCCTCGTATTGTACCAAGCACTGTGGCGTTTAATATCACAGTTGTAAGCCCCACAGTGGTTCACATGGACCAAGTGGGGACGGGGCGCCTGAGAACGCCTCCGCCATCCAGTTCTTCTGCGGTTCGTTATGAGTGCTCGAGGCGACGATGATATTATTCAGTATGTGTCTGGCCATCATTGACAAACGTTTGAAGTCAACCGCATCGGAAAGGATCTCCCCAACAACAACCGATGTTCATAGACCGGATTTTGCCTTTGCAGATCACTCAGGACGTATCAACTTTCAATCTTCATCACATCGATAGCAGATGGCATGGGCACGTGCACGTGCACGGAAATAGAAAGGCAATAAAGGAATGCCCATGCGGAATTTGTTCACCTGGTTTTTATGCAATAGACTGGACGCTCCCCTTTTTCCCGAAATGACACACTCAAAGACATATAACTAAATGCCCTATTGATCTCTCACATAATCTACCAGCTACAGTGTAAACGGCATCAGCGAATTAAAGAAGAACTGAAATAAGGATGTTCACTGTTTCGATAGTTTCAGATATTTAGCCAAATCTAGGGAAACTGTAACCCGATGTTGCATATACTGACCTCCTAGTTCAGCTGAATAGATTTATCTAAAGTTATCTGAGCTGACAACTTGCATAAAAGTGCTATTAAACGTGGCATCACGGGAACGAATTGCCGCCCCAAGGTCTATATCCCCGCATCAGCTATCCTCTATCCTCGTGTCAAAAGGTAGTAAGCAGAGTTGTCAATTATTTAAGGCCACCCAACCCCCCCCCCCCCCCCAAAAACAACCCAACGCAAACTGGAAGGTTTCTCACAATTCCCACCCTAGAACCGCTTTCCAGCTCGACATCGACAAAGAAACTCTTTCAGCATGACACATGATCCATATGGGACTCACGACGGCCATAGTATTGGTACCACAAAGGACTCAGTAGCCAAAATGTTCCTCGGGGGAGAATGCGGCAAGCGACTAATACCCAATGTTATTGATGAGACAGCTCACAAAACTCCCGATCTTGAGTGCATGTCAATTCCACGGAGCAACAATCCCTGCGATGGATGGAAACCTGTGACCTGGGCTGAGGTCGCGAACGCCGTCAACTATGTCGCAAACATGCTCATTACGCAGAATGGGCATCCGGTGCCTGGAAAATTCCCTACAGTGGCATACATCGGCTTGGAGGACCCGCGCTACCCCATATTCGTGGTCGGTGCCATTAAGGCCGGCTACCAGGCCCTGCTTATTTCTCCTCGCAACTCCATCGAGGCGCAACTGAACCTGTTCGACAAGACAGATTGCAACATAATATATCATGAACTGCAGTTTGTGTCAATGGTGCAGCCGTGGGTGGATGCCAGGCAGGGGATGAGGAGTGTAGCTATAGCGCCATTCGAGGAGTGGGTTGTTGATGGAGTGACACCGGTCTTGTATACTAAGCCATTCTCTGAGGCAGAATGGCACCCCTACGTGGTACTGCACACAAGTGGCAGTACCGGCCTTCCTAAAGCAGTAGTCCTGCGGCAGGGTATGGTTGCTCAGAATGATCTTCATCGTTACGTCCCGTCGCTCAATGGCACTTTGCCTTGGCTTCCGACATGGACCAGCTCTCCTAATCCGCGCCACCTGCTCGTCATGCCCTTGTTTCACGCTGCAGGCATCATGCTCTCAACCTTGTGTGCCTTCTACTATAACGCGCCGATCGCATTCCGAGACCCCTCTTGTCCTATAACAGGCGATAATGTGGTCAAGTGGCTGCAAAACAGTAACGCGGGGTGGACGGCTATACCGCCCGCCATCCTAGACCATATGTCTTACTCGGAGGAGGCACTCAACGAGCTTAGAAAACTCCATGTCGTGGCCTTTGGGGGAGGTCAGTTACCTGCACAATTTCTGTTGCTTGGTTCCCTCCACGCTATTTAGCTAACTCGGTCCATCCCATCAGGCGCTATTACCCCCGAGACGGCTCATCGACTGGCACACTATGGTATTAAGACGGCGAACGCCATCGCAGCTACTGAGTAAGAGGCCACAATTAATTACTCGGAGTATGAAATCTGCCAGACACTTTACTTACTAATTGTGGCAGGTTTTCTTTCTTTCCTTACTACTCTCAACCGGAACCCGCCATGTGGCCGTGGTTCATCATTCCAAGTGATATAATGGGTATCAAATGGCGATTGGTTGGCGACGATACGTACGAGCAAGTCATAGTGCGCAAGGACAAACACCCGGGGCTACAGGGTTGCTTCTATACCTTTCCCCAGCTGGACGAGTTCAGCACCAAAGACCTGTACCGGCCACACCCGACCCTGGCAGACCACTGGACATACGTGGGACGGGCCGACGACATCATTGTCTTCTCCACGGGAGAAAAGCTCAATCCCGTGTCTATTGAAGGCGCCATCATGGGGCACCCAGCGGTGTTCAGCGCGCAGGTTGTTGGTAGTAAGCAATTTCATGCTGGGCTAATGATCGAGCCTGTTCAGTATCCCAAAAATGAGAAGGAAAGGCAACTCTTTCTTGATGATATTTGGCCAACTATTGAGAAGGTTAATGGTGAAACGGTTGCACACGGCCGTATCCTACGCGATTATGTGTTTTTGTCGGATCCGCAGCGCCCATTTCCTCGTGCAGGGAAAGGTAGTATTCAACGCTCTATGGTGGAAAGATTATACGCAGAAGACATTGAAGTATTCTTTCACAACAGAGACAATTTGGTTGTGGCTGTGGACCTTGATGTCACTTCTGAGACGACAGTTTTGGGTTCTGTTTGCGACTTGGTTCGGAGCATGCTCAAACTCCCTGAATTGGACACAGACGATGATTTCTTTACCGCTGGCATGGATTCGCTGCAAGCAATCCAACTCTCTCGTGCGTTGCTTGTCGCCCTAGAGAAAGCGGGTGTTAAATCCAGCGAGCAGACGGTGGAATCGAGGATTATCTATGCCCATCCAACGATCACACAACTAGCGGCGTATGTCTTCTCCCTGGCCTGCGCAAATTGCAGACAGAGCGGCCCAACCAGTAATCCAGGCGTGATGGCAGATGAAACAGCTATTTGCAGTGCACTCGTCGACAAATACACTCATGACCTTCCAGCTGCAGTACCGAATAAGCCGGCTCCGGCCGACAAGAGACAAGTCATCATTATCACAGGCACAACGGGTGCATTGGGATCGTACTTGCTGGACTTTACTTTAAAATGTCCCAATGTTAGCAAGGTAATCTGTTTCAACCGTTCTGTGAATGGCTTAGAACGCCAGATTGAGGCGAGTACATCCCGGGGCTTATCGACTGATTTCTCCCAGGCCGAGTTCCTGCAGGTAAATCTTGCGGAACCAGGCTTGGGCCTTGCCCCCGAGGTAAAAAGTCGACTTGCCGACGAGGTGGATCGCGTGATCCACAACGCCTGGCCTGTCAACTTTAACATGTCCGTGGCGTCGTTTGAGCCGCACATCCGCGGGGTACGTCACCTTGTCAATTTCAGCGCACAAGCTGCCCGCAAAACTGTTCCCGTGACTTTTATTTCATCAATTGGAACCGTGGAAAGATGGGATAACCCCGAAGTACCTGTACCTGAGACAGCGCTACCAGATTGGTCCCTCGCAACGATGGGGTACAGCCAGTCCAAGCTCGCAAGCAGCACGATCCTCGACAAAGCTGCAAAGGTTTCAGGCGTGCCTAGTGTCATAGTACGGGTTGGTCAAGTTGCGGGCCCACGCAGCGAGAAAGGCAAATGGAATCCGCAAGAGTGGCTTCCAAGTTTAGTTCGGAGTTCCGTTCACCTAGGTCTCCTGCCTGACTCCCTTGGCACATTTGATCATGTGGGCTGGGCACCAGTGGAGGACATCGCAAATGTGGTACTGGAGATTTCGCGTGTGACATCTCTTTGGTCAGTAGAAGAGATTAGCGGGTACTTCCATGCACTCAACCCAAAGGCTACCAACTGGTCTAGCCTCATACCCGTCCTGCGTGAGTTTTACGGAGAGAGGATTCAAAAGGTGGTCTCGCTGGAAGAGTGGATCCATGCACTTGAAAAGAGCCAGGTTCATCCTGTGATGGATGACAACCCGGCGGTGAAACTGCTTGACACATATCGATCGGTAGCAGAGGGTGCGAAGATGGGAATCAAGGCAGCATCACTGGATACCACGCGAACTGAGTTTTATAGCTTGACAATGCGGCAGATGGAGGAGGTTTCGCCGGAATTGATGAGAAATTGGTGTGCGCAGTGGCAATTTTGAGAGGTAATTAATGAGATGGAAGATATTGCTATAGCGAGATATCTGCCGTTAAACGCAGGATAGCCATGGACTTAGCCAATACGGACTCACTAGGCTAGAATAGGATATTATCTAGGTTTGGATATTCCACAGGCGATGTAGATGGCCACCTAGCGCTCTATGTAGACCCAATAGAAATTTCTACTAGCGCACTTGACCATGGAGTGGGTAATTTCTTGCTACCTGAATCCCTCAGTGCGTTACTATATATTATCTAGCGGCGACCCACCCTGTTGTATCACTAGGATATTGTTCAACTAACACGTGTTAGTGTCTATAGAGATTCTTTGTCCGCTAAGGGAATGGTCAACTTACCAGATAATCCTCTCAATACATACCTAGCTCTACGGCCCGCACTGTCTAACATTCTAACGCCTTTTGTGAGACATACTTTTGAGGTTCGACGTTAGCCGTGATCTTCAACTACTCCACTAAATCTAACTTCTTGTCAAATGAAGCCGGTTAGATATCAACGGACCAAGTCATACTCTTCACAAAATCAACAATTTTACAAGGAGGCTTATTATACTAGGCTGTCACAAAGTCCCTACGGCCAAGTATCTGGTGTTCTTAAGACGTGGCAATGGCATATATAGAGACCAAAAGTATCACATAGAATGATTGGTACATAGTGACAGTGCTAAGGGCAGATATGAGGGTGCGGATGGTAAATTTAAAATACTCGGATTTTAGAGGCAGTCGAGGTTGTTGTTGCCCCGCGATAGCTTGGTATGGGGTGGACAAACAGGGGGCTCAGTGGGGCAAGAAACACTTTACCCGAAATTGTTGAAACAGGGGTGCAAATAGGATTTCCAAAGATTATATGAGTCCGAGGTATTGCCGAGAAAACGTGGAGAAACCTCTTAGAATGTTTGAAATTGAAGGCTGCAGTAATAGAGATGTACAAGCTGAGTAAGGGCTGAGAAAAAAGATCAAACCAGTCTCAATCACTCCATATAGCGGACCATTAAGTTTAATATGGAACTTCAAAATTGTTAACCGCATCCATGAGATGAATAAATTATCATCAAAAATATAGAAGCATATAAAGTAAGGCTTTGACGCAGGTACATACGCTTTTGGCCAGTCGGCTTGGACTTGATATTAAACGGATACGAGTACGAGTAATAATCAGGATATAGTTAGTTACCTTGTTGCAACTTACTCTATAGTTATTTATAGTGTGTTGCAACAAGCTTATTAGCTCCTAAAATATCTCGAAATACCTCGAAATACCGCTAAGGTGTGTAGTGGTTAGAAATATATTATTCCCACCCACTCGCGTAAGCTACATGTAGTTATAGAACTACAGCTTGGTCAAAATCACTCTCAGTCCAGCCCCACTCCTCGAATAAACTCATTCTGCAACCATCCCCGAGTGAATTAATGCCCAGAAACGCAGAGTTGGCTTTGCCTAGCCATTGTATGTAACAGTTGAACCATGTTGTTTCGGTCCCCACTTTTTCCGGTTGGGGATCAACAATGTTAGTCTGTTTCAAAGAGACCTCATATGAAACAACGAAATCAAATCTGTTTTATGTCTTAGATGCACGTCCAAAATTTTAACATCTTCAGACGGAGAAATTATAGATTGGTGGGGTGGAATGATCCGGTTCATTTTCCCTTCCCCTTAACTGGGTCATTACCAAGACTTAATTCTTAATCTTGAATATTTAAACATATAAAGCTGCTCTCCCCATCCAATGCTTGATTCCTCCACACTTGATCAACTGCCTATATTCATCATGTCTCTCAGAAACCTCGCTATCCTCGCCGTCCTCGGCCTCGTCAATGCCCAAGATCAGATCGGATTCGGTCCTCACTTCTCCCTCGGCCCTACGTCATCATGGATCCGTGAAGCAAACACAACACTTGTTCTCCCTGAGGTGCCAAGCCCACAGAAGGACCGTCTTGCCCTGTGGCCCGGTATGGGAACAAGCGGTGGTGATTTGATTCAGGCTCTTGCTGTTTCTTTCTCCGACCCTGCCGCGTGAGTGATATAAGCACAAATACAAGCATAATTCATAACTGACCCCAGTAGAAACTGTGGTGCAAAGTCTGGACAATGGTGCACATGGGCCAGTACCCTCCAAGACACCCAGCTGGGCGGAAAGCAGGTCCCTGCCGATGCTGGTGATAAGATTACAATGCATTGTAAATTTTGATTTACTGGGACGCATGAACATGCGCTGACTATTCTATAGACAAGTACAACGATGATACCAGCAAGTTTGACCAGACTGTCTCCATCAACGGAGAGGTTGTGTCGACTCTTTCAACTAGTAAGTTCTCGGTCTAATGATAATCCTAGTCTCCAACTGACAATCCTTTCTAGGCTCTGGCCAGGCACAGGGCTGGGGTACCGCTGTCGAATGCCAGGACGATTCCTGCAAGAGCACTACTGCTGCACACGGTGAGATTGCGTTTATATTTCCAAGTCATCAAACACATGTTAATTATTGTAGAATACCTCGACACTACCATTATCCTGGATGCCGCCGATTCCTCCTTCAGTGACACTCTGGCTATCGACGAGGCCACTTCTTCCGGTCTGAAGACATCCGACAACGGAAAGACCTGGACTGTGTCTAGCATCAAGATTCAGTCTCACACCTACAACCTGTAAACAATCTCAACCTATGTATGTACTCTAGAAGAAAATTTTGTGCAGGCCACAACTTAGATCAGAACCTTATGGTGCTGACCGAGGAATCTCTCAATCTTTCCCTGCCTGCGTGACTTCTATCATCGATGAAAAGACTGGAGTGATCGCTAAGTACTATAATTATTGAATGTTGGTCGGTCGGTTGATCACGGGTTCCCTTCGTGAACACCACAAAGCTCTGTATACACTTTCGTCAACATGGCGTGATAAGAGGCACCCTTTGTCAGCGAAAAAATTTTAATAGCTCTATAAAACTTGGCTTTCTACAACTCTCTGCTCAATTCATCATGGATCTCGCATTACACCATCCATTCCGACATAATCCCTTTCAACAAAGAAGAAACAGAACATCAGAGTGGTAGCGAGGATGACGGCAACGAGTAAGATGGCAATAGGCGGTAGATTGTGACGGGAAGCTTCAGAAATCACAACGATAAATCTTCACAGTAATACAGAAGGGTAACGCGGAGAGATCCACAATGTCCTATACGTATTGAAGAGGGGAACGCGCAAGGCAGTATGCTCTAAGGCATACGGGTCTATTTGGCACTCGTAGTTCAGCTGCATACTCAACTTTGCATATAAAGGAACTTAGGTGCACTGCCCAAGAAGTGGATTCAGAGAGGGGTAGGAGTCTGTATTCTCAATCTGTGTCTATCTACTACTTGTAACCTCATAACCCGACGGTTACATAACAAACTCATAAAAAATAAGAAAGAGGAGGGGAGCTCAATGCGTAGTGGAGAGCCTATCTCCGCACTACAATATTTAGTATTAACCACTTAGTGTTATGGAGCTTCATACGCTTTATATAGAGAATTCGCAATCTGCAGTATGGTCAATGCAGTGCTAGCCCGTGATATCATTAGTTAGAAATATGCCGAAGAGGAACTGAGCTAATTGGTTAGTAAATAGGAAGTGAGAGAAATTTAACTGTGAAGTAAGAGAGTGTCTTATCATATAGATCTGAGATGATGAGACGCTCAGTAGCTTGATGGCTTCACTAATCTAGGACTGGTGAATATTTGGTCTATAAAATGAAGATCTAGACATTAAGGTAAAATCTTCCCCACAAGTAACCAAAAGGGCCTACAAAGGTTCTATGGGACTATGCCAACAGGTACCTAATGGTGAGCCGTGGGGAAAGCACCACGAAGTCAGGACCTCGGTGGTAGCCTGTAAAGTCAAACCTCTAGCCCAGAGCGCTTCTTCGCTATGTCAACTGGTCGTTTGCTCTGTGTTGTCTCGTCCTAGAGTCACCCCAACAATTTTCATCACATCAAACAGCTTTTATGACAACGGTCACTTTCTCTCCCATCATCTCCTCCCACCATCCCATCTAACCACGATCCCATCCAACCATCATCTGATCCCTCCACAAGCAATTCACAACTTCTTTCAACATTAAAGTGCCCCACATGCCGGGCCCTATCTTCCTAGCTGCCTCTGCGTCATACCAGCGCTACCTCCAGGATGGTGTGACTGGCAACCTCGTTCTCTCAGTATACGAGCAGGTGAATACATATTGCTTGAGGCACTTAACCAACCTTCCAAAAATTCTTTGAAATTAACGGCCGAAATCAATGCTGAAATAGACACCTGACGGAGACATAATCGTTGGCCCAGGAGAGGTCTTCTGTCGCCTGCCTGGCTGCGCAAACGTTCAAGTGAGTCTATGAACGATTCTTACTACGATATCAAACCATCGCTAATGCATAGATTACAGGTTCCGCTATCCGAAACCAGAAACCTACATTCTCACCTCCGCGGTCATGGAGTTCTGGTCGCCTGGACTCTATCGGCCCGTATCAGCCAGCGCACCAAGGACGCTATTGTGGCTTTGTACGAGTCCCTCTTTGCTGGCTTATAGGAAGTAAGTGGACGCGACGATGGCCAGAACAATGAAGAGCGCAGTGATGAACGGCATCAGGATGTCAACGATGGCGAGGATGATGTGCACTGAACGTTGATGACAACAACCTTCATACACAGGCATAATCGCAGCCCTTCTTCATATCTTTTAATTCTCAGCTACATAAAGTGACATTGATACAATTACGACATTTCATTTACCTCTCATATCGTAGAGCAAGTGCCATGGGCCTTGCTATGGCTTATGCTAAAGTATTCATATGCATATAGACTTAGTTGGTGAACAGCGAGGTGCAGCCAAGGTATAAAAGGAGTTGAAAGAGAAGAAAGAAATGCCCGGATTGATATATGGCGCGGCAATCTGAAAGGGAGGGCGTTTGTTTCTGGGGAGGCCAGCAGCAGGTGAAGTCCACAATGTAATTTGATTCAATTTCAAGCTCCTGTGTGCCTACTTGGAGATACCTGCCAGTGCCAGGCGAATATATAACCTCTGGTGAGGTCAACTCTTATAATCAAGTGGGAATATAACCAAGAGTGATTAGCCTAAGTGAGTGGTAAATCTGAAGTCGAAATGACCCAAGTCTACAGCCAGAGAATTCTCAATATGTCTGCTCTAACGCGAATAGTGAAATGGCTGCCAACTTCGCTACCTGACTCTCTAAGTCTGACTCATATTTGGGGTATAAAACTCACATTGGGAGGTCAACATACCAAGAGGGGCGTGCAAGGTCCAAGCAACTATTCCAAAAGGTGGTAGTGAGGTACGAGAGGAAATATACAGTCTTGACTGGCTTGAGAGCCTATAATAGGAAGCTACCCAGGCAGACACAGGCTTCCTTTCCCATACGCTATTCTTGCTTCCTCCTCAACAGCCAAGTGATCTCAATCCCATTTCTTCTAAATCACCCCACTGAACCCAACCAACTGCAATCAACTGGTACCCGGTCAAACTATCAACATGCCCAATCCTACAGGGTCCGTATTTTTGCATTCACGTGCGGCGTATCAACTCTACCTCCAACATGTTGAATAACTGCTCATTAATATAATAACAGATCCCCCTTTCGAACCCCAGGTCCCTCCGTTTTCACACCTGCATGTACAGTATTACGGTGATCCAAATCCCATCGGGGCGTCTTGGCCAGGGCGTTTAAGATGCCATAGGGGGAACATTTAATATATCTTTCATCCATTGCTCCCAAAGGCCCCCGAGGGATGCTCTGCAGACAAGACATAATGAGAATTGAAAAATGGAGGGAATGATTCCATTGATCTGTCGCGGAATGAGTTGAAGCGGAGCGCATTAACTGGGGAGATCGAGAAGATATCACCTAGTTGGGAGCCTAGGTCTGCCTAGTTGGTCAACTACTGTAAGCTGAAGCTACATAGACTTCAGAAATACCAAAAATGGTCTACAAAAATCCCAAGAAATTATTCGAATGGGTAATTGGGAAGTGGAAGAAGCCGCATACAGCCAGGACTCGCTTACTGGTCCACAGATGGGAAGGCACCTGAGCACGTCCAATGCTCTTTCCCTGTGGTGTTGTCCCTTTTTCTTCCTCACCGGAGTGACCTATCATTTCTTCAACTTCATTGTATCCAACCAACCAATAACTGGTTTAACCAAAATGTCGACCTGTGTTGGCCCCGTGTCCCTGCGTTCGTGTGGGTCTCACGACCGCTGCATCAACGAAGGAGGCGCTGGGAAGCTGAGTCTCCCAATCTACCAGCAGGTGAGTACATCTCAATCAACGAGATTGGTCCAACCTTTGCAATACATCTGAACGACTGAATCAATTGCTAATCAATCAAATTAATATTGCAATAGATCCAAAACGGCGAGATCGTCCTTCGCTATACTACCACCCACCTCAAGTATACCTCATATACCACGAGTGAGGAGGTATAAATTAATTGGGATAACCCCCTTGTTCAAAGCACAGAAGCTTTAGGCTGCTGATTGTTAAATCTAAAGCTGGGAGAGGAAGCGCCAGCTCCATTGTCTACCAAGGGGAAATATTTTGCAGAATTGCAAACCGGGAGGACTACTATATGGTCGGTCTACCTAGAACTTCCATCCACTAAATCCTTGATCAATTGTTAACTCGTTAACCACAGATTCCTTTTGGTCCAACCAATACCTCTCATTCTCCGTATCTGCCGCCTTCGAACATATCCTCTGACCCTCGGGAGTGTCTAGCGTAGGGTCAACAGGATGTCCCCATATCCTGATCCGGCTCCCCTATATTTCTCTATCGCACAGTTACTGTGACAGACCTGGCCTCAGCAGGCCATTTTGCTGAGATTTTGTCGGATATTTACTGGTCTACGTTCTCAGCCCTCGATTTCCATCAAACGAATTTGATAAATCTCGAAACGAGATTTAAGGACAAGAATCAGTCTAGCTCCAACGAGAATAGGGGGAGGAAACGCAAGTCAATTGTCATGCTACTGTTGTTGCACGGCGTTTCTCAAAGAAAAACAGCGAAATGAGGATTCGATGATAACTTTGATAACCGTGCAAAAGGTCAATACTGACATCTTGTAAGGTATTCCCCTGCAGCAGAAATCGCATGGCCAGTTTCCTACTATATGAAATTCACCTTCAACAAAGGGGATGGAGAGGTCTTGAAGGCAAAGGTCCCTGTGTCGCTGCGCTGCATGACCTATCTGACGTCCTGGAACTGCACCGCCTGGTGTCCATAACCTGGCCAGCTACCCACAACCCCCCTAAGGACCTCGACACGAATTTCTTGGATCAATTTGGGGCTCCCAACATGAACCGATTCCTTTTACTCTATATCATCATGGGTCGTGACGAAAAGAAGATCTTTTCTGAGTTTGAAGATGAGGAGCGGAAAGAACTCATTGCAAAGATTATAAGTCAGGACCCCAGACTAGTTAACCTCCCTCGTGCAAAGCTTTTCGGCCTTTGGTTCTCAGACATCAAGAACCTTCCGGACTTTGCAAACTTCCTTCGGAAGGATATTTGTGTTTTCAACTGGAGGTCTGGGATATTAAGTGATCAATCAATCAACCAATCAAAGTTCAATTAACCTGTTGCAGCCTAACTATTTGCGTATGACCATGTAGGTGTTTAATCCAACTGAAGCAGGAACTCAGTCCAAACGCCGGGTTGGAGCCACATAGTGCTCCCAGAGAGTATACAGATACCCATCGTAAAGTGTGTGGAATCATCCCATTCCTGTAACCCGTAAACCCCACAAGCCCCTCTCCCTTAGCGCGCTCAGGGCTCTTGTGAACATTGCTTTTTGCCTCTCGGTTCCAACATTTATTTCCACGGATCGCGCAAATGTATAACGTCAGTTTGATGAATGTAAGACATGCCAAGGATCCTCGATCCCCAGATTTCACAAATACGATGATCCCTATAGTATTGAGTACGAATTATATGTCGCGGATCTCTCTGCTCCGTCTTGGCCTTGCCCATTACCCCGCATCCCTTATTGATCATGCAGGCTCTGTATGTTGTGAGAAAGGCTCAAAATGAACTACATACCAGCCGCCTGCCGCTTCCACGGCGGATTCATGACGCCGGATGAAGTTGGATGTATAAAGGAAATCAGATGCATAAATTGGAGTATAAATGTTGACGTTATTCTAGTGAGGACCCCCAAATCTCATGTATAGTCCCATTTAGTTTGTTAGGATTTATTAATTTAAAATATGCTCTAAGAATCAGAAGCTGCTTCCATGTAGCTAAAGTCGAGTACATCTGGAGCCGATCGCAGTGTTGCATTGGGTTTGGGTGTTGAAATCCCATCTTTGTATGTCGCATTGGAGGAGTTGAAAACCAATCAGTTTGTGTTGCAAGGGCTGTGAGTCGCTCGGGCTTGGAGTCGTCATTGGCACGGGGGCCTCGTTCAATCGCGATCGTTCTTCTCTAAAATGAGCAACACAGCCTTGTCGCCGTGTCCCTTTACATAGTCTATAAGTTCCTCGGTGACAACTTTCACCAAGCCCTCCGCCACCAACTTCTCAACCTCGGCCTGGAACCCTCCAGACACCCAGATCTCTTGCAGAATCGTTGAGACAACAACACCCTTATTCTTAGCGACCCGCACAAGTTCGCGCAAAGCCGGGTCTGGCTTAACATGGCCAAGAGTGAAAGTTCCCACGCAGGACACGAGATCGTAGGTTCCGTCGGTCTTATTGATCGGTCGGTTCATGTCTGCCACTGTGAGATCTCGATAGATGCCAGTCTTCTTCGCAACGGAAAGCATGGCGGGAGATAGATCAATGCCATCGATCGCTTTGGCCTTGGCCATTGAAAGAGCCACTCCCACCAATCCTGTCCCACAACCGGCATCCAGTATCACGCTGTTTGTGGCGCCGTTGGAGAGTCCGTATTTGATGGCGGCTTGAGCGACAAGCACAGGAGCAACGTAGTTTTGAGCACTGTCTCCGACCTCTTCGTCGTATGAGGCTGCCCATTTCTCGTATAAAGCCATGCAATCTTCGGTGCTGCCACTGGCGCGGGCCTGGCTGAGGTACAATTCGGTAGAGGAGCTCGAGGCCTTGGCCTGGATTGGGGTTGGGGCCAACATTGTGAAGGATTGAGGTGGGTTGCTGAAGCAGGGGCTTTGGTAAATGGTCTAGGAGATTGGGATATTGTTGTTTTCGTGTCAAGGTTTCTTGGTAATTTCTAGCCTAAGAAGTTAGAATTGAGTGAATAGCCTGTTCCCAACACTGCGCCAACGCCATTCTTATAGGAGTTGCCAGCTGAATGGCATTGCGGATATCGTTGGACATTAGCCCCAGGGTTATGGCGTGATGCGGGGTTATTACCGAATGGACCCAAAAGAGTGAAGTTGCGACGATCGATGATGTCGGTGGAATATTGTTTCAGGCGCGGTGAGCCTGGGCCTGGGCACAATGCATGTTCCTGCGCTAGGTATGTACCCCTCTAAGCTGTTGCCTTGCTCCCGAGGGAATGAAAACACTTCTATTTTATTCAATCAATTCCCGCAGAATGAAGACACGAAGCCTGGTTTGAAGCAGCACCCATCGTGTCGACTTGAGGCTCTGTCTTTAGTCGCACGCAAAGACCGGAAAATCAATTGAGTGAATTATGTCTCACGGGCCTTGTTTTCTCTTTAGAATACACTTTCCCACCAGTCTTCCGATGGCAAGGAGACTTTTACTTGGCCAATCATCCGGTCTGGTCTGACCATGCTACCTGTTCTCATCCAGATATCCCCGGTCAATCAAGATTAGATTGACGTGGAGGGGCCCCACCTGGCTTCCCACTAAAGTGACGATCTATTTCCCAGATAGGTTTGGCTCTATCTTAGCCTGAATCTGTTCCAAGGCCCAGTGGAGAAATGGGGCACCTAGCCGTAGAGTAATCAACCCCATTTTCTTGTCCGTGCTCTTTGCATGCACCAATGCATCATTTCCTGGTGGTGATTGGACATTGCGTTTTCCAGTAGGTTCCGAGGGCGGCATTGCGTCCCGTTCAACCCAATAGAAATGAATCCCAGATGCGAAGTGGGAGAGAGAAAAATAATTTGCCGCGGTATCCAGCGATTCATTGATGGTCAGTCACGGTTCCATTCTGTCGGACTCCGTAGGTCCTATTTGTGCATGTGCAGATCACGTAGATATTTTTTGTTTTCTATGTGACCGATATTGAGGCTTCGTGATACCTTCCTGTTCGGGAACCTCGCTTTCTCTTTATCCCTCAGTGGAAGTCTGGATGGAGGTGGTAGGGAGAGAACATTGTATATCGAGGTTATGTAAATACCAGCATGTCAGAGCGTGTGACTGGATATTGAACAGAGATAGTTGACGACCACCAGGGTTTCGGGCGGGAAAGCACAGAAGAATCGAGACATTGTAGGTGTGGTGTGTAGTAAACGCAAGCGAGGGCATTTCTAAATTAACAAAACACGAAGTCCAAGATATCGTGATTTGTGCCTTGTATGTCAGGCCACCCAGGAATTAAGTAAATACAACAACGAACCTTCTAACTTGCTCTTTCCACAAACAGTTATCTTCAACAACTACCTCTAGTTCCTCAAATATTTTACCCGTGAGACGCCGTCTTATAGCTAGACACTATACAACTACACTGATCGAGGATGAATCTACGATGAACGCCACGGGGATTCTATTCCTCCAGACCATGCGTTTAGTCCATCGAGTCAAGATGAATTTCGATATGACAGCATCGAAGGTATTACCGCTTGTCTGTCCCGTCGTCAACATCGTCCCTAACGTCTGCTGTAGGAACATTCTGAGACCACCTTTCCAATGTCTGCGTCAACCAATCGACAACAACTAGGACTTGATGGACCCGAACGACTCGAGCTACGACCTGGTTAGGGGCACAAAATACTTCGAGAGGACAGTCCGATCAGTCAAATTCTACTTTTGCTGCAGGTGATATACGGGGCGGTTTTGGAAATGCCTCGAACTTTCTTGTCGCCCTGTCCCAAATCGTTTAGCGATCTTCGATCGCCACTCTTGCCCCTTTCATATCCTCTTCCAGTCCATAACTCGAAGGTACAAATAGGAAACGAGAAGGATCGAGATCGTTTCGCATCTGTGCAAGATTTTCGAAATTGCCGCAGGTTCTTCCATCCAACCTCAGCTTAGATGATGGAACCAAGGCTCCGATACCGAGTTTACAGCGTTCTTCAAGCTCGGTCTGGCCTTTTCCCACTCAACCTTCCAGTGGGCTTGGACCCGAGCCCCTGGAGATATCAACCCATCCTGGACACATCGCTATGGCTGCGCATCCCGTTCCTGGCAGTACCGCCAAGTACACATTGTTCGGCAGAAGGAACCATGTTTTCGCGTCCAAGAGTAGGAACTGCCGACTATGTTTGACTTACACCTAAGGCTTAATGTTCTGCGCCCCGGAACACAGCACTATTCCCCCAGAAGTCCCCCCTCCAGCAGACTTGAGAAATCATAACTTTCTTTGCTAAATCGGCTGAAGGTGTGCTCTCAGTTGATTCCTTTGCAGATGCCAGTACCGAGTAGCATCACAGGTGAGTGGTTGACTGTTGCTTCTTCTCTAATCCCGTGCCTATATACCTGTCACACATCCGATATGAACAATGTCCATCCAAGATCGGTAGTAATTCAGTCGTGCTAACCTGATAAGTAGCAAGCATTGACTAGCTGAAACCGGCCACTTCCGCGGCTATCATATAGTCCGCCCGCAAACCAACACGAGTATGAAATCCTGGTCACTTACAACGGCAGCAGCCCTGACAATCTCGATCAACAATCATTCAGGAGCGTTCTTGGGAGAGGTTCTATGCAAATTGCTATACCAGCACGATGTAGATTGAATCACCAATGACATTGAACACTGTCACTAATCGTGGTATTTGTTAAACAGGAAATTGGAGAACCGAGACATGTCACCAGATTTATGCACATCAGTACAACCATGTACTTGAGATATATCATAATATGAAGTGCCCTGGACATCAATGAAGACCTCGTTGAGTAAAATGGTCTATGTCCGCTTGACCAAATTATCTGCAGATTTTCTAATTTTTGTTATGGTCTCTTTGCCTACCTAGGGGTCAAATGTTCCGATATGCTGAGTTGAGTGTGGTGTCGGTGATCAAGGCCTTAGCGATGGGCGACGCGGACAACACAGCACCATTAGATGAAACTTAGTATTTGCCGTCCACACCTGTCCACTTGCCCATGGTGCCGCTCTAGAAGTCACCGCTAACCACCAACGGAGCGATTTCAATGCTTTCAAATGTGGCACCCGTGTCGTAAACTTGCACACCATTCACTCCGCTGGTATAGGTGTCATCCGTGAGGCTGATCTTGGCCTTACTCATGTCATCGATGAAAAGTTCGAGTGCCCTATCTATAGCCTGCACTTTGACGTGGTGAGTATTGTTGGATGCCACATCAGCAGGCCACCTACCGAGCTGCATCCAGCTCTTGCTCGCCCGGCCGAGGAAAGCGCTTCCGGTGGCATCAAGACCTGCATAGTAGCCTTTGTAGGCATTTGCGCCAATACTACGGTTAAACACACGGAAGAGAAGGCCCGCATTACCAGAGGTCGATGGTGGCGTTATATCGGCATCGAAGATGGAGTTTCCAAAGTTAGTGTTCACAGGGCCTTGGTGCTGAGAGATTTACTTCCAACTAATACATTAGAGGATGCGTCGGAAGAGCCACCGGGAGTCCTCCATTGCGCCATGGACCCGCTGGAAAAGTCATCGCTGCAGGCCATGTTGTTGAGGATGGGTGTCTATGTTGGTACTGAGGTAGGAGACATCAATGCCGTAGTGGTAGTCCTGGTGGACGATGGAGGGGTAGGAGGGGGCAGAACGTAACTTGCGCCAGACGAGAGGCAATTTAAAGACACCTCGGGGATTTGGATGGGTACGGGTACTGTGCCGTGGCTGTAACCCCAGACGGCAGCGTCGAAGGTCATGACGTCCTGTCGGGCAAGGCCAAATGAAGACGGACAGCTCGGTGGTAAGGGGTCTATTACAAGCGCTGAGCACATGGTGCCGTCGCCTAGTTTTCCCCAATCCTGAGTTAGACTGGTCTTGAGGGCGGTCTGGCATGTCTGCGATAAGAAATCGCGCTTTCCGCCACCGTCTACGGCGAGCTTCGCCTCGGGCTTAGTGGTGATGAATACATGGCGACAGATATACTATTTAGGATCCATGGCCAGTAGATGGCCGCAACAGCCCATAATTTCCGGAAAACCAAATGTTAAGGAGGACAGAAAAGTGGTTGCATCTTCTACGATAGCCGGAGACAGTGGCATTTCCTTGGCTATCACGATGTATAACGTGTGTCCTTTTCTGTAGGATCCCGGGTAACGCTGTCTCCAATGAAAGCCACACATGGATGTAGAGTTGATAGCGACAGACCTCTCGAACACGGCGGTGACATTTTCATAGGGCACAGCGAGGATATTACTGCCGTGCATGAGGAATTCACCATAGTCTTGTGTAGATGGGAGTTGAGATAGGCATTCATTGTAGCAGGCATAATAAGGATTGAAGAGACAGAAATTGTATACGAGTAAATGAGATGTGTCGTCGGTGATATAGACGAGGTTTTCCACGATGCTTACGCTGTATAACAGAAGGAATCGAGCTACCAACGAGAATCAAGCGTGGCAACTTGATCTAGACTTTGTGATTCATGTTTCTCTGTCCTTCCCCTCCCCCCTGACTCATGTAGATTCAACTCACTATTCATTATTATAGACTATAGTGGTACCTGAGGAAGGTGAATTGGCCACAGCCGGTCCAGCCTTAGATCTTTTGTTAAACACATCAACTTCCTGCTTTTGAGGTAGTGCGATTCTGCCAGTGCCAAACATCCATTTCCATCGTTAACTTTGTAAGTGTTATGTGGCCGATCAGCCCGAGACTAGGGGCGAAAGTCTGGTATAGTTCCTAACGGTAAACACGCGTTTGGGTATCAAGGTCGAACATTTCCTTTAAGATCTGACATCCCTATATACGTGAGGCTCTTAAAGCAGTTTTATAGGAGTGTTTTATGTTCATAAGAGATGTCTCAACATATTTCCGACGAAATCGCGATCCCATTTTTGATCTTCATCCAGCTTTCTTTCCTAGGTATGTATGTATACTTGTCATCATTATTTCTCTTTCTCCGCCAAAAAGCAAAAAACATACAACAGTGAGGATTCGCTGGTGGTCACCCACCCAACTACTAACTCACCGGCGTGTGGCTTAAGTACGGCTGAGCGGACGGGAAGCCCTGTTTTCCACACCCTATGGTCGTATGTATTAAGTTACATATTAGAAAGGTCTATATAGTAAAGTAGATTTAGGATTAGTTGGGAATCTACTATCGCGTGGCCGGGTGATAAGGGTAAGTACGCTATAGGTATTGACCCTTAATCGTATAATCGCCCTCTTAGCTGAGGGATGGCATATAATTGGATCGTAGCCTTCGATCTATAATACCTATTGTTAGTATCTATATAGCAATTACGCGATATTTGTAACCATATAGGTTGCTAGAGTCGTTGCTATATATAGGATGGCTCGAAAACAATTTGACTGTTTTATTCGTATAAATTATTTGGTAAGCGTAGACCTTAAGAAAGCCTACCCGGCCCACAGCCCAACCCAACCCAACCCACCAAATGGGCTGGGTTTTGGGCCTATGCTTCGGGCCCATCGATGGGCTATGAGCCCGGAATGAAAGCCTATAGGTTTAATAGGGGCCTATTATAGGCCCCTATTATAAACTCAACAATAAAAACATCCCAATTTATCGTTGCTGTATAATTAATGCATTTTTCCCTGGTTTTTTTTTAGGTATTCAAATTACCGTTACTACAGAGAAGGTAGTGATTTGTGATTCTAAAACAACTTAGTCACCTAAGCCGATAAATCGTAGTATAACGTATTTCACCCCATAGCTGGATATACCCCATAGCTGGACACCCTAAAACACCATAGTAAATGCGATATTTTACAACCGTATATCTTAGCAACCACGTTACTATTTGATTTAATTGTCATCCGATAGCTATCGATAAGTCTTTTAAACATTATATATTAGTTCTAAGTAAATCGAAAAGCTATATTATCATGGTATTAAAAATTACGTTGCTTAAAAATAGAAATATATATATCTTAATCATAAAGTTGTATAGATTTTCCAAAGTCCTTAAAGAGGCTAGATATCACCTAAAAAGCATTAAGCTATTAGGAAATTTCTAGATAGAGTACCTTTGTTGTGATATCAAGTTATAATTTATCGCATTTACCATGGTGTTTTGGGGTGTCCAGCTATAGGGTGTGTCTAGCTATGGGGTGAAATACGTTATATATCTCTTCTTACGAATACTCAGTAATCCTCCTAGGTACGAATTCGTGGACCACGGGTCAAATTGGATCTTTTTAGGCTCATTTGATATGAAATCTAGTATCATAATACTAAAATAAGTATAATATCTACTTAATTCCTACTTCTTACTATGCTAATATAATAATACTAAATATGTAGGTTGGTATATACGTAAAATATAGTTATTAATCAGCTACGTTATACGTGCTAAGAGACGAGTTTCTTTGGTGTCGAATACTAACTCCGAATATATGGTAGAAACCAGGTATTATACCGGAAACGTCATATGACATTGGGTACTAGGCATACCATACAAAAGTGCATATTATAGTTAGTTATCATGGTCCGCACAGATTGTTGAAATAGCGGGTTTTGTCATTTTAGTTAGAGTCTTCAACATTGGTCATCTATACCATACATTGTTCGTACACCATCTTTCTGTCAAGTTGTACTAAAGGAAAGGTAGGAACTAGACTACTACAAATGTAGGGAAATACCATGTGACCAATGAGAGGTCTCAACAAGCTGAACATCCACAACGTCCTGTTTGTTTGGTATGCATACTGCAATAATTCGGGAACGATGCGGCAGATCAATTGACCACCAAATTTGTGGGCTTGTGAGGCAAAGATCGGTGGTCGGTAATCGGCGCTCCGAAATGCCGACATACGGCACTATCAAGTTAGCTTGAATCGGGTGTGGGGCAGGTAATATATGATCTTCAAGAACATGTCTTGGTCATGGAAATATGCTCAGGTGGCGGTACGGTGCGGAGTCTGCTTATATGTTCATTGGTTCAAATCTTTTGCAGTTGGTGATCACTCATATTGCCATTCTATCTCCGCCCGGACTTAACTAAACGCCAGATTTCTCAGTCTCCGTACTCAACGAATATTCTCGTTTGTAGCTCCTACAAATACTCCACTACACCTGCATTTGTGCGTTATAATAATCGCGTGTCTGTTTCCGCAAAGTACAAAATGGCCTTTCCGTACAAGAAAATCATCATCCTGGGGGCCACGTCCGGTAAGTGGAAGTTTTTATTTGCAGAAACCGGTGCTTAGCTCTCTGGAGAGCAAGCTCATCAGACACTCTAATAGCTAACTTATTCTGAAGGGATCGGCCTCACCCTGGCGGAACGATTAATCCAGAACGGCAGCTTTGTTATCGCGGTTGGTCGTCGCAAGGAAAATCTTGATTTGTTTGTGCAGAAGCATGGCCCTGCGAGGGCCGCGGGTATTCAGTTTGATGTATGCAATCTGGATGAAATCCAGCAGTTCGTGGCCGAGTAAGTCGATTTGATCTGTGGACCTTTGAGTAGCATCGTGGGTTGTTTTGCATTAGATGCTGACCAGAGGAAATTTGAACCTGCCAGTGCCACTGCTTCTCACCCGGACATTGATTGCGTCTTCCTGAACTCTGGCATTCAGCGACGATCTATCTTCAGCGAGCCTGAAACGATCGACATCGATCGCATTCAGGAGGAACTTACGGTGAGCAGACAAATAGCCCTAACTCTCTGCCGCCGTCTACCACGGACTGATATAAATTCGGGTTGCCTAGGTCAACTACACTTCCTACCTTGCACTGACGAAGGAATTTCTCTCTTTCTTCCAAGCAAAATCGGATATGCCTACATCGTTTATCTTGTAAGTGCACGCGCGAGACTAAGGAAGAGAACAATTCTCGAGCAGCATATCTTATACTTGTTTCACTACTGACAGATTGGTGTCTCATCTTGCAGTACATCATCTAATCTCGCCCTGGTCCCGATACTTCGGTGCTCTAACTATTGTGCTACCAAGGCAGCCCTTCATCAGTGGATTCTTTGTTTACGGGAACAGCTGAAGGAAACTAGAATCAAAGTGGTTGAGATATTTCCTCCTTTGGTGGAAAGTAGGGCCTCCTTCATACCTTTCTTCTTTACTATCATAGCTATTATTTCCCTTTACACTACCCACAAATTCGCTGATACTGTATTTTATAGCCGAACTTCATGACGCTAATCACCAACCCGACATGGCCAAAAACCGACCGGAGGGGATTCCTGTGGATGAGTTCGCAGATGAGGTAAGCAAGCCCATTGTTTTCTTTCGTGTAAATTCAAACGAGAGTTCTATTTTACCTGGAAACTTTGATTTCCGTGCTATCGGTATATTGTTGACTGATTCAATCCTATTCGTCGCGTATAGACCATGCGGAAGCTCATCGCCGGCGACGACCAGATCCCAGTCGGTTTTTCGAGAATTGCATTCAATGGCTGGGAGCAGCAGCGGCAACAGGCATTTAGGGGGGTTGTGGAGATGATGAGGAATAGCGGTAATTGATGATACACAGTTGCATTAGTATGTGAGTCTTTCTTGACTCTGTTTTACTAAGCAAAGGTACTGCTCCGTGTTACCTTTAAAACCACAATGTAAGACTTCATATTCTTCGAGATTTACAGATCCATCAATCTCACTAGAGTGCTTTCTACGGTATTAAAATTCAGGTAGGTCAGTAAATCTCTCTGTCACTTTGGTAATACTGTGCAAGTCACGATCAACCAGTTGCATATGTTTGATTTTAAACCTGGCTCTCCCCATTCCATCAAGATAATAATGACACCTACCCTCTAACTATCTAAGGAAGTCTGTAGTCCGTCAAGTTACTCTAGGGATGATTCCAGTCAAAAGCCTCTTTTCTGGTTTGGTTCAACTCTGGGGTTTCGAAATCTCTTCGCACACTACCACGTTCTTGCACTGAGTCAACTTCCCGCTAGGCAAAAGAGCTTTACTACTGCCATAGTACTAGGAATAGCTACCAAATATCGCAGCTTCAACAACCGCTTTCGCTTTGCTCCACAATATCCGAATGAAAAGCTTGCCGCTGATCCCTTAGGGGTTTTCCTGCGCCATGCCTAATCTCGGTGGAATTTGCTCTGATGTCGCGCAGGGCAGATTAAAAGTGGAATTAACCAAGCTGCGCCGATATATAGCATTTCTCTGCTATCCACAACGTCATTCGGTGCCTTCATTATCTCCCCCCTTGGATCTGTAGCACGTCAACGTAGGTCCCTAGCCGACGGACACTGGATTCAACTGCGGCAAGAGATGCTTCCAAGATGGTCCCACTCGACTGACCCAGACTTTTCCGTCGTCATAAATTGTTGCTCGATTAGGTGGCTGGCGGCCTTTGTCACCCACACCAAAATAGCACTTGGGCAAGTTGATACAACGGTCGCGCGGAATCTGCTTTTGTTTGATGAACATTTCGATTATATCCTCGTAACAACCATGAGAGTAGACATCGGCTTGTTTTCAAGGGCTTATCAGTAAAGATGGACCCAAACGACAAGGACAACAATGGCTATACCATATCCCAGGTACTTATACCTCAGGTATAAGCGTGCTCCAGCAGAAAAGGCGCCACTTTTTCATTCAGCACCCAGCCTTGCCAGTGGCTGCTACCATGTTACATGACCTCTAAGATGATCTTGAACACCCTTGGAATCTAAATGGCCAAGCCTAGCGGTTGATGCACCCGCATCAGTCACATAAATTGACCAGCACAATGCAGTAACTATCACACCTCACGTATTCCATTTCTGCTCCACATCGTAACTAAGCCATCTCAAAGATTCCCGGGAGTAGAGAGAAGACAAATAATAATATGTGCGGCCAGGTTTCAATCGAAAAATGAAAAGAAAATAAAAATATTAGTAGCAAAAGATGGAGCGGAGTCTTGAAATTACAGCCAAGCATTATCTCATCAAACATAGGATAGGATATCTATCATATGTCGCCATATTAGCACTTGCTCTCCTCTTTGCGCTCGAAAGCGATCGGCGAACTTCAAACCACTAGAATATCTTCTGAAAATCCAACTGATCAGGGGAGATAGGAGAACGTTGCTATTTGAAGTGCATGCAACTTGCTTACAGGTACTATTCTGAAACTCTGCATGATGCAAGGTAACGTATTCGGTAAGCGAGCTGGCCACCCCATTAAACCTACTAATTTCAAATATGTCAACCAAAACTCTACTAAATTAGATATACTAAAATGATCTATTCTCTAGATATATATTTCTTTACGACCCTAGGTTTTATATAGCCCGTACGTTGGTAAATCCCTAGTTCTTAGCTATAAAGGTAGTAAAGGCCTTCTTCGCTGGGGGGGGGGGGGGGGGGGGTATAGGTACTTTAATTGCTTCTACCGGCTTAGTAATTAATATAGATACTTCTTAAACTAAGAGGCCTTCTTCGGCGGGTATCTATCTCTAGGATCTAATACGCTTTTGCTTCTACTTCTTATTAGCGGCGCGTAATTCCTTATTTTCTTTAGCAAGATAGTATCTTATATTATAAGACAGAAGCCCTTGATAAGCTAGTTTAATATATAGTCTAATAGGCTAGGTAGACTTCGAGATCTTATACAAAGTAAAGGTTTGATTAATAAAGCCTATCGACGTAGTTCTTTCTCTATAAAAATGGTTTTTAGGGTATAATACCGGCTTAATTTACTCCCCCTACTCGGAGGGGGGTAGGTATTCGAAGCTAGATATTAAGCTTTAAAATCACTTAGTCGGGTCTAAATAGGACTAAACCGGTAGCTAGAAAGCTATTTTTACTAGTCTCGATTTGAAAGCTTTAATTCGTATCTAGGGGTATACTTCGAGGAAATCGAGTTTATTAATATAGTTAATCCTTATATATGTCTTGATTTAAACTATCTAACTATTCGTATATTTAATACTATAAAATAACTTATGTCTAGGGGTTATAAAAAATAAGATAAATACGCTAATATATAGATTAGTATTATGTTATTTATATTTATAAATTTCGTTAAATTTAGGTATTAAATAATTTCTATAGCTATCGAGTATTAAGAGCTAGTATACCCCCTTTATATATATAGTACTAGGAATAAAGAGCTTTTTAAGCTAATAAAGGCTAATTTTATTAGAAATATAGCTATTAGGACTAACTTCGAAGCGCTAATCCTCTAAGAGGCTATCGAACTATAATTTAATAAAGACATTATCTTTAAAAATTATATATAGAGGAAGGGCCTAGCTAGAAGTATTTATATAACGTATTTCACCCCATATCTGGACACACCCCATAGCTAGACACCCCAAAACACCATAGTAAATGCGATAAATGTTAAGAGATACTCTACAAGTCAGGGTAGGTGCCTGTCAATCAGGTAGGAGAAGGTAACAAGATAGGTGGTTCCCAAAAGTCAAAGACTGTTTCTTAGAGAGCCGTTAGGCTTCCTCTATATGGTCCAATTTATATATAGTCTCTCTATATTGATAGCGGGAGGAAATGTGATACGTAGAGCGGGGTCTCGTTCCCGCGGGGAACCCTTCTCGGAAGGGTAGGGAAATATAGGCGATCCCCCTCCGGAGAGGTTAAACCTCCTATAGGCCTAAGGTACCAATCTAGGAATAGCCTTACGTCTGATTATATTATAACAAATCATCCCTCCTTTAAGAATCGCGTGCCTTTACGCGGGGTGATAGGTAATTAGGAGAAAGTATATAATAGGGTAAACGATATAGAATAGGTAGGAGCGTAAGGTAGGCAAATAAAGTAAGATCTCGCTTATAAGAATAGGGGACGCGTTCCTTTATTATAATCCTATAGCCTCTCTTCGTTTTACTTCTACTCTTTATATCTTACTTCCCTACCTTTCCTTTTATTAGAATTGTCGTTTCGTTAGCTCTTCTTTAGTTTCGAGGTACCGGAAATATTACGATACCTCGACGAAACCCTATACGTAATACCCGCCCTCTTTTAGAGGCCCTAGTTTATATTAGGATCCTCTAGTATATATACTACCTATATACCGTAATCGCCGAGTAGAAGGAGGACTAGACTCGCCCTTTTAAGATTAACTATATAATAGACGCTAAGGCTTCTATCGCGTATAAGTAGTACTCTAGCCGCGCTTCGATATATATTCCTATAAGTTTCGCTAAGTTTTATATATAGAGGTAGCGGCTAATAATTCTTAGGCCGCGACCGCGGTACTCGGCGATTATTAGGACCTAAGTAACGTACTAACGTAGGCCTATAAGATATTCTAGCTAGACTAGGTTAATATTAATAGTACTAAGGAGGATAGTAGCGAGCTAGAATAGCCGTTTTCTATAGAGACCCGTTAAGTAGTCGCCGAGAAGATAATAGAGCTCTATAAGTCCTTCGACGCCTCGGAGTAGGCTTATTATAAGGAGTATAGATTAACTAGTAATAAGGCCTAGGTTAAGGTATATAATAAGGTAGTTTTAAGTAAGGTTTTCGGCGTTCTCTAACTATAGTTTCGGTAGTAAACTTAGGCCGATTATAATATATTTCTTATAGGCTATTAATCCGCGCTTCCTCTTATCGCCGCCCCTAATTTCTTTAATACCTAGAAGTAGAGAGTAGCCCGTTTTTTAAAGGGACTTATACGTCTTTTACTTAGAGATAAGGGATACGTTCTATAGACCTTAGTAAAGCGGGTATTTTACGAAGGTATTTCGGCGGAGGTTCGTAAGGCTTAAGATACCCTAGACTTTAATATAGATAATAATACTTCTATTAGGGGTAATAAGATAGAGGAGCGGACTATAATAGATTTCCCTATTCCCTTAGAGGAGATTTAAAAGTAGGCCTAGTTATATTTTTAGATACTTTTATTATACTACCGTTTCGGCGTCCCCTTCCCTACTTATTAGCTAGGTTTCCCTTATCTTTTAGGGTAGTTTCGCTATCCCTTCGTAGTAACTAAGGGTTTTTTTTCCTTTTTCCTCTCTTTTAATCTAAGGTTTTTTATTAATAGACTAATAAGATCTCCCTTTTTAAATTATATCGGAACGTAGTCTTTATTATAATATTTTACTATAGTTTCGTTTACTTTTCGCTAGTATTCCTATAGTTTCTAGCGGAGGTTTTCTAATTTCTTAACTCGCGTAGACGCCGCTAGGACCTCTCTATAAGAAGTTTCGCCCTCGAAACGTTACCGGAAGTCGGGTAAGTATCCTAATAGAGTCTAAAATAGAGATATACTAGTTATTACGTTAATAGCGTTATTATATACGAATTCGGTAGATCTTAATAAAGAAGCCTATAAGACTTACTTATCGTCTATAAAGTACTAGAGGTAATATTTAAGGATTTAGTTTATACGTTCCGTTTGCCTATTAGTTTATAGATAAAACGCCGTCGAAAGCCTAAGGCGTATTTATAATAGATAGTATAGTTTTAACTAGAACTTACTCGTAAATAGTAATCTATAGTCGGATATAATATCTTTAGGGGGTCCGAAGCGTAGTTTAATATAGTTATAGAATAGTTCGGCGAGGTCTCTAATAGTAATCGTTAATAAAATAGGGAGGAATAGCGACTATTTCGTAAACCTATTAACGATTATAAGAATCGCGTCGACTAATCTATCCTCGAATATTACTAGCGGTAGGCTAGTTATAAAATCTATTAAAATTTCTATAAAGGGTCGTAAGGGGATTAGTAATAGTTAGAGCTCCCTATATAACTTATATATTCTTACTATAACGCCTTAGTAGATCTAATAATTCCTTACGTATTCGGTAACGTCTAGGTAGAGGTTCGGCTAATAGTATTTCCTTTTTATTAGCTTAAGTATTCTTATATACCTAAAATAGCCGGCTAGGGGGTTATTATAGTAAATACTTAATAGTTTAGTTCTTAAATTACTTCTTATAAGGATATAAATACGTTTCTTAAATCGTAAAAGGCCCTTAGGCCCGATACTCTAGCCCTTTAACCCTAGAGTCGACGACTTTACGGCGGTCTTTCGGCGCTAAGTCTCTAGGTCTTCGCCTTAAAGTTACCTAATAAGCTCCTTAAGGTCTATACCTACCTTAATAAGGTATACCTACTCGGAGGCGTAAGCTAGCCTAACCTATATATTAGGGAGACGGTATATACGCCCGAGCTCCTCCTAATTAATTATATTAATCGATTCGTCCCTATCTTTATTCTCTTCGAAGTATAGGATATTTAAGGTAAGCGTACTTATAGTTAGCGACTAGACTATAATAGAACGGTAATTAGTTATCTACGATTCGCTAGCTATTTAGCGGCTTAATAGCGAGATTAGGTTAACCTTATAGTTACTCGGTAGCTAGCGCCGAGAGGGTCTATCTATAGGATTACTCTTCCTAGTATAATATCTTATTATAAAATTAAATAGAGTAAGGGCTAAGTACTACCGTACTTATCTACTATTAAGCTTTAGCT